GAATCTTCATTAAGTTTTTGTGAATTTTTTCTTCCCCCATAGGAAATAATGGAGCTGTCAGATTTTGACAGCTGTCAAAAGTTGGGGGGAAAAAATTCACCATTACTTAACGAAAAGTCAGATCAAAGCCAAATTAACTTTTACATCCGTTTTAGAGGGTGCAGAAGCTAATCCAAGCATTTAAAACCATTTTTAACCCTTTTATGACACACTTAATTTTGCAAAAATTGACTTCGCAAAGCCATTGGAATGTATTAAGTCAGCTATATATACACACACACATATACACATATACACATATACACATATACATATATATATATATATATATACATATACATATACATATATACATATACACATATACATATACATACATACATACATACATACATATATATATACACATATACACATATATACATATATACATACATACATACATATATACATACATATACATATATATATGTAACACACACACATATACACACACATATACATATATACACATATACATACATATACATATACATACACACACACACACACAGTGATGCTGACCCATATACATATGGGTCAGCATTACTGTAGGAAGGCCCACAGGCATTTAGGAGGAGTGAAGACTTTTCTTTCTTGCAAGAGGACAGCTTTGAGGTATGGCTTACCGAGCTGTCCAGGAGGCCATTGCCATCTGTGTCATAGAGTCGAAACATAACTGCAAGAGAAGACAAATGCAGCAGAGGTCTGTAATAAATCCAAACAGTCATGAACATAATTACCTCATTGGTCAGTCTTCCTTCTTCGTTACCGTGCTAACTTCAACATACGAGTTCACCCTCATGAATCTACAGTGCTCATTTAATGTTACTTGTTAGCAGAGTTTGGAAAAATTATTTTTGGACTATATTTCATGGTATCCTCCAGTCAGCATGGTCACTGGTCCTGCTCAGTGGGGGATTCCGGGAATTATAGTCCAAAAATAACTTTCTCTAGCTATATAAAAAAATATAATCCACATTTAATTATGATTTAATTAATTATAGTAGAGCTTTCCTTATCTTTAGGTTGAGGAGAATGTCATTAAAAGTACTGTAAAGTAAAATAAAATAAAGATTCTGGCTTCATTATCTAGAATCAATTGAAGTAGCAACCCATTCTTTTAAGCACAGGAAAGGAAAAGAGAATATCAATTATTATGACTATATTTTTGCCTCTTGATCTACTAGAGATCAGAAAATTATTTCTGTACTCTTGCAAAGTATCAGGAATAGAATTAGTCCTACTGTCTCTAAAAATTGCCATGACTAGTATTGCTCAAAAGGAAAGGTTATGAGGTGCGACAATTTGCTGTTTATTGTCTCACTGCTTATTTAACTTATATGCAGAATACATCATGCGAAAGGCAGGACTGGATGAATCCCAAACCAGAATTAAGATTGCTGGAAGAAATATCAACAACCTCAGCTATGCAGATGATACTACTCTGATGGCAGAAAGTGAGGAGGAATTAAAGAACCTCTTAATGACAGTGAAAGAGGAGGGTGCAAAAAACGGTCTGAAACTCAACATAAAAAAAACTAAGATCATGGCCACTGGCCCCATCAGCTCCTGGCAAATAGAAGGGGAAGATATGGAGGCAGTGACAGATTTTAGCTTCTTCGGCTCCATGATCACTGCACATGGGGACAGCAGCCATGAAATTAAAAGACACCTGCTTCTTGGGAGGAAATTGATGACAAACCTAGACAGCATCTTAAAAAGCAGAGACCTCACCTTACTGACAAAGGTCCACATAGTATAAACTTTGTGTTTTTTTTTGTAGTGACGTATGGAAGTGAGAGCTGTACTATAAAGAAGGCTAACTGCCAAAGAACTGATGCTTTTGAATTGTGGTGCTGGAGGAGACTCTTGAAAGTCCCCTGGACTGCAAGGAGAACAAATCTATCCATTTAGAAGGAAATCAACCCTTAGTGCTCACTGGAAGGACAGATCCTGAAGCTGAAGCTCCAATACTTTGGCCATCTCATAAGAAGAGAAGACTCCCTGGAAAAGACCCTGATGTTGGGGAAGTGTGAAGGCGAGAGGAGAAGGGGACGCCAGAGGACGAGATGGTTGGACAGTGTCACCGAAGCTACCAACATGAACTTAACCCAACTCTGGGAGGCAGTGGAAGACAGGAGGGCCAATAATAGTAGTAATTTAACATACCTGATCAAACTTCCAGCTGATCAACATTCTCTGGTTCCCACCTCAAAGCTTGTTTTGACATTGATTCATACTGAATTGTAGAACTTTCTCCTCTGTCACCCCAATGAGGAATGTATAATTCTTTTCCTACGCATATTTTTCAATTAACAAAACTTTCTCTTACTCTCAAAAGAGAGTCTGCATTTTGAAAACAAACACTTTTTAATGGGCAGCTTCCAAATGTACACATTATTCAAACTCATTTTTGTTGTTGCCTAAATAGAATTGTACACTTAGAAAAGTGAGGACAGGCTGTGCTTGGCAACTGTAGAAACAGGAGGCTGGACTAGGTCTGAGTCAACAGGACTCTCCTATCTGTCTGGGAGGTATTTCCCCTAAATACTCACTATTAATGATTAGGTGCACAGTCTAGATGTGATTCTAGACCCAGCACTGACCATGGAAAAACAGGTTTCCGCTGCAGTCCACTTTGTCTCTTACCAAATTTAGTGAATCACACAACTGTGCCCCTACCTAAATGTCAGGTCCCTAGCAACACTGGTCTACACAGTGGTAATCTCAAAAATTGACTATTGCAATGCACCCTACTTGGGGCTTCCCTTGAAGCTGGTAGAAAAGCTTTCCAATTAATGCTTCTGCAATTTGAGGAAATGCCTTTGTGCAAAACTAGTATCTTTTCCATTAGTGAAGCAAAGCACCCATACTAGTGGCAGATTGTGATGGGGGGGGGTAGGAGTGCCTCCTCCAACTTTTGAAATGAGATGTCTCTTCCACCTATTGCAGTGCATAAGCTGCTCATGACACAGACAGAGAAAGCAAAGAAGGACTGTATGCTTGATCACAAAGATGCAAATTCATCTGATGCTTCTAATTTTAAAAAATTCAGTAGCAATAGGTAAGAGCAATTTTAATTTTGCAAAAATTATATAAAATCAATTATTGCAAGGGTGAGAATTCTCGTTGATACCAATAGATTCAAATTTGGCAGCCTCTCATAAGAACAAGAAAAACAAAGATTTAAATTCCTAATCATTTTTTTAATATTTTAGATTTCCAAATCAAAAACAAATACAAGAATATAAAATGCTCACTGTTATTCAGGATGATCCCAATACAGTTAGAAGAAGAAGATTTTAAGTATTGGTAGGAATTAATTAATGGATATCAGTAAGAATAAAGGAAAAAATTTAAATTAGTTTAAGGTGGTATATGACTCTAGTGAAATTGAATATAATAAATTCAGACTGTTGGAAATGAGATGAAGAAATTGACATGTATTATCATATGTGGTGGGAGTGGAAATGGACTCAGAAATTTTGGAAACTAATTTTTAAGGAAATACGTGATATATTTGGAAAACATATTGAATTCAATTCTAAAATTGCCTTCTCAATTTTTGATAAGATAGAACTTGATTATTGCTCAAAGGAATTGATTTCCAATTTTATGACAAGTGCTAGAACATTAATAGCTAGATTCTGGAAGGATAAAAATGATATTCAATTAGAAGATTGGTATAATGAAGTATGGGACATTGCATTAAATGATAAATTGACTACTGAAATGAAGATGAAAAGAGGGGAAATAAGTTCAAATATTTTTATGCTATTTGCGGTAGATTTATTGAATTTGTATTAGTGAAAGGAAAGGGGAAATCGTCTAAACAATCAATACAATTTTGGAAAAGAGGTTTGTATTAAAAGTATTGCTCCAAAGGGCCCTGTGGGTATAGGGGTGCACTGTGGTTTAGATTGCAATAGTGAGTATTTTGTATTGTATTTTTGTTTTGGAAATTTAAATTCCTAATCATTATATCCTTTAAAAATGGTTGAAAACTGCATGAGAAACAATCTAAAGTCACCAGAGGGCAGTCTTGTACAATTTTCAGTTATATTAATATTAAAACAGCAGAGTCATAAATTGTTTCTATGGTTTTGGCTCTCTGCCTACAAGAGCAACAAACAGATAACACTTTATATTCTTCCTAATTAGAACACGATTTCTAGCTATTTCCCTTCATTCTCTTGTCTCTAGTTCAGATCATGAGAATTAGTTCAACCCACAAAGGAAACCATACTTCAACACCAGAACTGTATAAGTGATAAGTAAATACAGTAACTGATTTGTAGGATTAAAAAAAAAAAACTATCTTGCACAGATAACAAGCTTCGTTTGAAAGAGGCAAGCTCTTTCTCACAGCTTAGAACTATTACGTCAATGGATGACAATCCCTAGAATCCTCTGCTGGCTGGCAGATTCTGAAATGTTATGCCGGAATATGTGATTCACAAGATGATTCCTGAGCTGGTCCTGTGGGGACAATTCAAAGGTGTTCTTATTGATGGCTCATAATTAACTTGCCCTTTGCAGTATTCATTAACATAGGCCGGTGTGTAACATGAGGAATTTCTAGTGGTAGATGAGTCAGACAATCAGCTTGACATAAATTCGGTGCCATCAGAAGGAAAACAGCTGCCAGAAGCCTTTACATTTTATGAATCTGTTCCCCAAAGAGTTTGTTCTGAAATTGACTGATAAGGTTCCATAAGACTCACCTCCCCCATTCCTTGCTAGAATTCGGCATCTTTAAAATAGAACTGAGCTGCAAAGTGTTGGGCAGGATTGTCTCCTAAGGCTTTTTTTTCTAAAGTCTCTCTACATGTAATAAAGAAATAAAAACTTCATTGAATATATGTGAAGTTTCACCCTAACAAATAACAAGTCTCATGTAACTGGCTAGGCTTTGACATGGGCTGGGACTGCCATGGGAGGACAAGATGCAGGAGGATCTTGTTACTTGGAAAGAAAAGGAAATTCATTTCCATAACTATACATTTTCCAGCTGAAATCCTGCTTGCATAGCTTTGCTGTATAAGGTTCATCGGGCATAGTGATTTTTTTTCTTGGTGGGGTGGTGGAAATAAAGCATTTTCTCATTCCTCCCACGAAGGTCCCAAGGCACCTGCAAAATCCCCATCTTTATGGGGAAGCCATTGAGGGCTGTGGGACAGTGTGCTTTGATTTCAGAAAACAACCACTCTGGTAAAGTCATCACAGCAGCAGCAATTTTTGGAAATTTAAGACCTCCGTCAGCATCCAGTGGCTCCCAATGGTTTCCTAATGGTGAAAGGGAATCTTTCACCCTGTGTGGATCTGTGTGAGAATTGGAAATATCATATATATATAAAAAATCTGCATCTGATGACATCCTCAGCTATGCAGTGAAGCTTACACAAGAGGATTTCAGCCATTATGTTCAATATTCAGTTGATTTTAGTGATGATTCCTCAGCATCTGGATTTTAGGGGTGGCTAAAACAGAGGGTCCCAACATTTTTGACACCAGGGACCAGTTTACAGTAGTTGGAGATCATTCTCCCAAGGACCGGGATGGTGCCGGCAGATGTCTGTCCATGTGTGCATGGTGCATTTGTGCATGTGGGGGGCATACAAGGGGGCATGCATGCGTGCAGGAGGCAGGGGGTGCATGCATGTGGGAGGTAAGCGGGCATCCATGTGTATGTGCTTGCAAGAGTGCATGTGTGCATGAGGGAGTGCGCACACGCATGTTCCTTCAGCCCTAGAAAATCTGTCTCAGCAGCCTGGTTCTTCCAAGGCCATGGACTGACACTGGTCCACAGCACGGGGGTTGGGGACTCCTGGGCTAAAGTAATGGGTGATTTGACACAGGGATACTTCCAGAGTAAGCTTTTACTCTGAAATTCCCCTAGCTCATTCACTGAGTTTTATGAAGGATCGAGAGCAGAAGAAGCCATGGGAAAACAAATTAACAAATAGAAGATATCAGGGCTAACAATTGGGTCATGCCTGTCAAAATTTCCCTGAATTGAGCGGGACAATTACAAAGCAAAACCTTCATCTAGAAGCACTACTGTAAATGTCTCTTCAATTTATAACCTGCCCTCTACTACAGAGGGAGCAATGGAACAATGCAGAAAGTCTTTGATTGGTAGCACCTAGAGAAAGGCTTGGAAGTAATGTGGCAGTATTCCAATATTTCATGTCACTGAAGTTTGGGTGTATGTGTGTTATTCCTGTGTTTTTGAAAATGATGCAAATCTATGGATTTTAGTTGCATTTTTCAGTGTCAATATTCTTCTAGACAAGGACAGATGAGTTTTAAGAGTCTAGTAATTCTCATATCTTTTGGTTCTAAAGGGAAGTAATCTGAGCTGTCTGCTACACTTGGGGACATTCAAACAAAGATGAAACTGATGCATCTCACAGAGACTGGCAAAAAAGGCAGGGCTGAAATCACAAAGGTGGAGGAGTGTGAGGTGCACATCCTGACCTTCTGTGAAGGTTTTGTAAACTGCACATTTGACATGGCAATGGGAGAAATGATTTGGCTACAATTCTAAGACAGATGGGGTGTGTATGGAATTTATGAGTTTCATAATCTGAATCCTGGAAAAAGCTCCATAACTTTAGGTCTGTCATTAAATCTCTGATCTAAGAGAATTTAAAAGGCCATATAATAGAAGATATGGGCTAACAAAACAACCTCCCTACACAGTGGCCAATATCCTGTTGCTTAACATAGAAAGTCACAAATAGAGTAATCCAACAGAATCAATGGAACTTACAGAGGAATTGACTCAACAAATCCCTGCTGTGCCTATTCCAGTTGCAACTTACTATACTAAACAACAGAATTTCAGTCAATGCCATGTAACCAACATAACTACCCATAAACTCTACCAGAGATGTGGGGAACTTCTGACTTTTCAGATTTCATTGGACTATTGCTCTCATCAACTATGATTTTTGGGCATGTTTGAGAATGCTAAAAGGAGCCCAAGAACATTTAGAGGGTTTCAGATACCCCATTCACATTGTATTGGAAAGGGCTTGTCATTTGGTTCATTCATACTCAGCTTGAAACAGTTATATTTAAAAAAATTACAACTCCATGAGAATTCCCAAGCCACCATGGCACCTATAGTCTAAACAAGTAACTTTCCAAGCTCTTGCATAGAACATGCTTGAGCTCCCAGCTGCAGCTTTCCAGCCTTTGCTAACTCCCCCTGAAACCACAAACCCACCCATTTCTCCCACCCACCACCTCTGCCGCTCTTGACCATGGCTGTATATGATGCCTTCGGTCACATACATTCTTCCTGTCTCCCAAGCACTTACACTCCAGCTTATCCTCAGCCCGTCCCCTTTCCAGCAGTGACAGGTAGCAGACAATGTCCTTCAGGTAGACTACCTGAGCCAGTGATGGGGCTGGTGGGTGTGGACTGGCTGGTTTCAAGGAGATGTGGCTCTTTCGAAGGTTGAAGGGCAATTTCTTCTCCAAGCTTCTGGAGCCTAGGAAAGGAGACAGAAAGGCCCACAGATTATGTTTTAGAGCCAATGTTGGAATCATGTTGTCAGGTAGAGAGAATCTTAAAACCTTGTGCCATATTTAGGTTGACTTTATGCAACCTAAAGCCAAAGATCAAGTACTTGGAAACATGTATTATTTTGGACAGCAGCTTCTAGAATCCACTGGCTGGTCAGTTCTAGGAATTTTCTAAGCCCTGTAAAGATCGCAGGAAGGATTCACAAATGTACACTACTGACCCAGTCCTATGCTTTTTTTAAAACAGCCATATAAACTATTGTAAAGTGAAACAGTTAAGCTAAGCAACAACTGAACTGTTGCAAGTGGGGCAGAACCAACCTCCCATTTTTGGAGGTAGAATATTTCCCCTCCACCTGACTTCTCACTTCCAAGAAAGCTTTATATAGAACTGTGTTAAGTTTTCAGCACTCTCTAGTGACTGAAGGCAATAAGGCCATCTTTCTCATTCCCTGGCCTGTTCGTAATACAAATGATGGTCAGAATCCTGTTGGTCCCACATGGTCTAAGTAGACAATTGTGCAAACCAGCCTACCTTTGCTACCAGGCAGCTATGCTTCTCTGATTTGGGAAGGAATCACACATCTAGTCATTAATTTGGTCATGTGAAAGATGGCAAGTGACAAAGGAAGAGGCACTGGGTGATTGCTCTTATACGTGCTGTTTTTCCCCAACAGGATTTTGGCCTTTAAAACTATGGTCAAACAGTGCTAAAAGCAATATACAATAATGACACAGTATTTGAGAAAGAAGATGTAGCCTATAGAAAACAATAAAAGAGACAAGGAAGATCTTAGTCAAATGGCGAGGCTTGGAAATGTAACATTTCAGACCAGAGGTCTCCAAACCCCTCAGCATGCATGCAGGCTGAGGGCTTCAGGGAGCAGCAGTCAAAAATATAGCTTTTCTGAGGACTGTGAGAGAATGGCAATGAAGGAAGTCGTGCACAAATAAATCTGAAACCAGTGGAGGCGGAGATATTTGAGGTAAGTGCTAGCTTCAAGGAGCTCAAGGTATTTGCCTCCTCCCTTCTGCTCAACCTTCTCTGGCATAAGGCAGTACTCTGGAGGCAGTGAGTTACCCCACATGGCTGCCCCAGTCTGACTGTGTGGGAGTCAGATGCTGGTTTGTACAATCTCAGGAGGAAAACAGATCACCCCACCCCCCTCACCAAATGCAAACATCTGATGGTACACAGATGCTACAGAATCTACTGGGATTGGAATAGAAATGGGGTCTCACAGCTGAGTCCAGGCAGCCAGTGACATTGCTACAGAGAAACTGGCTTGCTGCAAATTCAGCCCTATGTTTGTCAAGAGACAAAAACCACATTCTTTCATAGGGAACTCCCAGGAGTCCCTGAGTGCCTCTGTGCAGCAGATGGATGTGCGAGAGCCTGTGGAAAGGGGACTATAAATCAATAACTATACATTATTGACTCCATAAATGGATTGGTTTTCAAAATCACCTGCTTGGGTTGATGTTGACATTTTTGCATTACAATTTCTCACAGAGTTCAAAAGGATAACTTTTGACAGAACAAGAGAACTTGGGGAAGTTGCTCAGTCTACAATGCTGCTTTCAACAGCTGCAGTTGGACAAGTCTAGCAAATATATAGCTTGGAAAACTTGCTTTATGGAGTGGGGAGGCAGTTTCCAGAATCCCCCCAGCTAGCACAGCCTTGGGCCTTGGTGCCAGGGAGCCAGGGAGCTAGTATTCAAACATGTAACAATACCAAGTTCTGATAAAAAGGTTGGCATTTATAGAAGGACTTGCGAAGAGCTGAACAGAGACAGAGCTCACCCGGGGACTGTGGGCTAAGCAAAGAACCTGAGGAGATCTTGGAGGACCCTGAGGAGTTGTGAGCAGAGGGGGTGCCAGCAGTGGATTTTTGTGATGATGATCTTGACCAGCTGGGTGAGGCATTTCCAAGGGCATTGGCGTTGGCAGCTGGAGTGGGGCACAGAGATGCTGAATGCTGGTCTGGCAGGTTTGCCTGAGAGCTTTTGGATTCAGGTGTGTGCCTTCCCATCGTACTGAGGAGAGTTTTGCCATTGATTCCTATAATCCAAACACAGGATACAGTCAATAATCTTTATGGAAGCACATTATTCTATACATACCAGCTAGGCCCTTGGGGCTGCTTGCGATTTGAGATGTCCACCTTGGACAAGAACTGCTACTTAGTGTCCTGGATGCAGGAGCCCATGTCTCATGTAGATCCAACAAATACAGGCTCGCCCAAGTCATTAATAAAACTGTTGAAGAGCACCAGGACGAGGACTGAGGCTTGTGGTACCCCTGCTTGTTATCTCCTCCAAGTTTGAGAAGGAACTTATGACAAGCACATTCTCTGTATGATCCTGTAAGCAACTGTCTACCTGATAGTTGGTGTCTAACTGTCTACCTGATAATCTACAGTACCTGATAGTTGGTGTACCCAGCCAACACTTAGTAGCTTGCTAATCAGAATGTCATGAGGCACTTTGTCAAAAGCTTTGCTGAAGTAGTAACCGCCCTGGCAGTTGGTAGGAATACTGTAGACATAAAATATATTATGTCTACAGTATTCCTATCATCTGCCAGGGAGGTTAAGGTACAGGTAAAGGTTCCCCTTGATAATTTTTGTCCAGTCGTGTTCGACTCTAGGGGGCGGTGCTCATCCCCGTTTCCAAGCCATAGAGCCAGCATTTGTCCGAAGACAATCTTCCGTGGTCACATGGCCAGTGCGACTTAGACACGGAACGCTGTTACCTTCCCACCAAAGTGGTCCCTATTTATCTACTTGCATTTGCATGCTTTCGAACCAAACTGTCTACCTGATAATCTACCTGATAGTTGGTGTACCCAGCCAACACTTAGTAGCTTGCTAATCAGAATGTCATGAGGCACTTTGTCAAAAGCTTTGCTGAAGTAGTAACCGCCCTGGCAGTTGGTAGGAATACTGTAGACATAAAATATATTATGTCTACGGTATTCCTATCATCTGCCAGGGAGGTTAAGGTAAAGGTAAAGGTTCCCCTTGACAATTTTTGTCCAGTTGTGTTCGACTCTAGGGGGCGGTGCTCATCCCCGTTTCCAAGCCATAGAGCCAGCGTTTGTCCGAAGACAATCTTCCGTGGTCACATGGCCAGTGCGACTTAGACACGGAACGCTGTTACCTTCCCACCAAAGTGGTCCCTATTTATCTACTTGCATTTGCATGCTTTCGAACCACTAGGTTGGTGGGAGCTGGGACAAGCGACGGGAGCTCCCTCCGTCGCGTGGATTCGATCTTACGACTGCTTGGTCTTTTGACCCTGCAGCACAGGCTTCTGCGGTTTAGCCCACAGCACCACCACGTCCCTTCCAGGGAGGTTACTAGATAAAAAACCCAGATAAGATTAGTCTGGTAGGATTTGTTTTGAGAAATCCATGTTGGCTTCTATTTATCATTGCATTGTTTTCAAAGTGCTTGCAGAATGACTGCTTTATAATCTGATACTTTTTAAAAATCTTTAGCAACCTCTTAGTATCTTCTTTGTCACCTAAGAACATAATACTGAGATCAAAGCAAAGTGATGTTCTCTCAGAGAACTTCTGAGCTCTTTTAAAGAATTCTCTACCCATTTTTAGATTAGGCATCCTTTCATCTCGAAAGACTATGGTAACATGCTCTGAACGGAGGACTTAGAACAGCGCCTAGTGTGGCTGAGAAGGCCAATTCCAGAGTGACAATCCCTTCTACACTGAAGACAAATACAGTCTGTCCCCTGTCCAGCTCCCTGATTTTGCTGGTTTCGGGACTGCCTCTTGGCCTCGGCCTGATGGACAAGGGGCTCTTCAAAATGGAAGAGGCCATGATGCACCGCCTGCCTCCAGGCTGATTGCTCAGATGTCAAGATTTCCCATCTGTTGAGTCCATTCCTAAGGCCTTCATATCCCACTTATTGATAAACTTGTATCGCAGCTGTTGTCTCCCTCTGGGACAATTTCCCTGCACTAATTCTTTACCCATACACTTTTATCATTTCTTTTCATTTCCTAAAATGTGCTTGAACAATAGCTGTGCATGTCACAGAAGAAAGGATCTGTTTCCTTTCATCCATTTCTATAGCTTACTGAGATGATAGAGATGCTATTTCGTGGTAATACCAGCAATGGAGGACTAAAAGAAAGACATCATTCCATAGCAATAATTTTGGCATGACACATTGCTTACAAATGCCAGGCCATGCAGAAATAATGGGGGAGGGTTTTTAAAAGCCTTGGCACCTAGGCACGGTTTGTTTGACATGTTTACTTTGCTGCTGCATGTTTCACTGAGCAGGATTGCAGAGAAAGGGGAGTCCCTAGTTTAAAAAGAAACCAGGGTGGGGGTGGGAAGCAAGAGAGCACTGTATTTTAAGATGAATACAGCTCCCTGTCCAGTGTGGAATAGGGATTTTCAAGGCTCTTAGCACTCAAAACAGATACCTGTAACAGGAGCACAAGCAACTTCCGTCTGGATGGAGATACCTGTATCTAGAGTTTTGGACTCTGAATACACGAACAAAAGAATAAACACACGTTAGCAAAAGATGCCAAATGTTTATTGCAATCAGTCCAACAAATGTTTAATGCAACATTTATTACAAGACATGGCAGTTAACCATTATTAAACCCTAGCTCAGTATCTGACTAGAGGACAGGGAGAAACTCAGAATAGTGGATAGCTGGAGGGTCAGCAAGATGGAAGGCAGAAAGAGAGTTAAGTACTGCTCTGAGAAACAAATAGCAGAAGGACAGACTCCTAGTGTTTATATTGTCCAATTCAGAGTTTGCATACAGCCTACTAACCCTCAGGAACATTACCTTTTTCAGAGTATGACTTTCAGATTCTCTGAACTAGAGGATTCTTAGAAAGGTAGTCCAAAAAAGTAACTTTTCCAAGCACTGTTACCTGCCAAACACTGGGGTTGCTGTTGCACACTCCAAAAACTTAAGAGATGTGAAGCTTGAGTGACTATCTACAGCTTCAGTTAACTTGACAAGTTAATTCTCAGGACATGTGGATTATCGGTCATGGTACAGTTGATTTCATCCATGGGGTAAAATGTCTGCTTTTCTATTTGCTAGCTCTTAAGTCTCATTTGTTTAGTTTCTGAGTTGTTAACAAGTGAAACAGGATTCAAATCTTCACATTTCATTCTTGGGAATAAGAATGAAAAATGTCAAAGGGTTTCTTCTTACTCAGTAAGGTCACAATAATTGTAGTTACATATTTAATTCTGGAATTTTTCTTTCAAAAAAACTGGGAAAATCTATTTTGCACAAAAACGGTAAAAGAGAGAAACTTCTACTTCAGATTTACAAACTATTTTGCACAAAATGTTGTTGTTGTTGTTGTTCAGTCGTTAAATCGTGTCTGGCTCTTTGTGACCCCATGGACCAGAGCATGCCAGGCCCTCCTGTCTTTTACTGCCTCCCGGAGTTTGGTCAAATTGCGCAAAATACAATGCCCAAACCCTGTTAAGAAAAACTGCACATATTTCACTGCCTCCTAGAGTTTGGTCAAATTGCACAAAATACAATGCCCAAACTCTGATAAGAAAAACTGCACATGAAAAGGCAACCATGCTCTTGTTTTTGCCCTCTAGCCAACAATTTTCCACAGAAATTGTATTAGTTTTACAACCAGTACAAAACTGGTAACTTGAGTGACAGCCTGTTGGGGAGAACACTCAGGTAACTGTCCTTCCACAGCTGCATATGCAAACAATATTCTGCTCAATATTTTGTATTTTAAAGGCAAAGATTTTAGATAGAATACAAGTGTGTTTTTTTGTTAGTTTTTTGTTTTGCTAATACTGCTGATTGGGATGGGGTGGCGTACTTGTCTTCTCATTTTTGATCAGAAGTGAAAAATTCCCAGCACCTGCCAATTTTTTAAATAGAATGTTTGAATATGTTGAGGCACCCTTTTAGTTGAAAAAGATGAAATTCTTCATTACCTTCTTCTTGGGAACCACACTTGCTGTCACTATTCAGCCTTGGTGTCAGAGGAATGTGATTATAATGTATTTATTCTGCTTGGTCAATTTTCTTGCAGTACTTTGCTGCAAGTACAGAACTACAAAAATAAAATTAAAAAAAAGGGAAACTCCAGTCAGAGGAAGGCAGTAGCCAGCTCATGAGGACTGAGCATGCTCAATAGCATGTTGACTGACAGAGAGTGAAGGGAACAGAAAAATGGGTGAAGATTAAAGGAGTGTCCTGAAAGGTGAATGGCTGGAATTCTGAACACAGGAGAACCCTGCATGACAATATTTTGTTGCAGGTCCATTTATTCCTCTCAAAAACAATATTGCAAAAGAAGACCTTGGAAATGAGACCAGCTTCATTTTTTAGTTCTGGTTTCCCTGAACATGCAGCATTGACAATTATAATCTTGCAAGCAAAGTACTGATTCACTGTGTGGATGTTAGTGAAGGTTGAAGCAGATAGAGATGTTGCTCACCAGGATTGCTGAGTTGTGGACCACTGGAATTTTGTCGCTGGCCTTCCGGAGAATATTGACAGATTTTTCGTTTGAAGGACATAAAGAGGTGCTGGCAGAGCTCCTCAGGAATTTCCACCTCCAGATAGGTTTTCATGAAGAGCTGGAATCCTTCATAGTCAATAGGCTATGACGAAGAAGGGAGGAAAGTAACATCCCAGTTATGTGGTCAGAATGTCAGAAATGTTTTTTATTTACACCAGCGGTTTTCAATTCTGCATACTTCTATGCCACCAATCACTCCACCAAAGAACCTGGATACCATTATGATAGAAATGAAAGGCTGTTTTTCTTGAGAAGGATATGCATGTATCTATGCATGTATCTATAGGCATTCTGTTATTATATTGATCATTTATAACATGTTATTGATAATTTATAACATGCTTTAAAAGCAGGACATTTGCAATAAAACTATTGGAAGTAGACATACATAAATAAAAACAATTAATTTAGTTAACTGTTGAAAATTGTAGTAACTGTGACACATGGTTTTTACTGCTATGGTAACTGCGAAATATAGGGAAACTATGAATCCCACCTAGATTTCTCTTCTGTCCTGCTAACGGCATGTGTACCAGTAGCTCAGACCTTCTGCCATACTCAACTGTTCTCTTAAGAAAAAAAATGCAAAACTGTGAACGGAGACCAAAGAGTGTGTCACAGGAAGTGTATGACCAGATCAATAGGAGCATATAACTAGAGAAAGCCTGCATAAAGACGTAAGTAATTTTCATGTTCATAATGACATTCCTTTTTGGTAATCTATTGCAGACCTTAGAAAAGTTATTTTGCTGAAATACAACTCTTTGTATTCTCCCACAAGTATAACTGCTGGCTAAGCTTAAAAGGGAGAAAGGGTAGTTGTAATCTAACAAAGTAATTTTCCAGGCTTGGGCACATAATATCCCTTAAGATGGAAAGGAAGGCTGTCGCTACAGTACTTTGAAAATGAGCTACTTGCTACATTTAACTCTTGAGTTACTGCGTTTGATTCATCCTCAGTTCTGGTCAGCACATAATTTCAAATATGCAGTATGTGTATTTGGATAGAGCTGATACAGCTTGATCTTTGATGCCTCTGGGTTGGGAATACAACTCTTCATTGTGTCTCCTGGGGCAGGAGCCAGTTGAGCTCACCTTCAGGTTGTGTGGCTGATCGGCTTGTGTGCTCTTTCATGTGTGTGGCCTTGGGCACGCTGCACGCTCCAAGAGCACCAGGAGAAGGAGGGACTAGCAAACCAGTTCTCTACAGTTTAAGGCTAGAGAATTCTAAAAGGGCCCCTATAAGTTGGAGTGGACCTGGTGGCACATAATTATTAATTATATATTTGAACTGTGTAACAGAGCCACAGCTATGGGAAAGGTGACAACTTTAGATTAAGGAGCAGGATTTGAATGGTGTTGCCCTGTGCAAAGAGAAATAGATAGCCATGCTGTTCCCTGTGCATGATGAGCAGTGGTGCCAAAGAGATATTTTCATGTGAATGGTGTGTAATTGAATTTCATGAAGATTCAGATAGTACTGGGTGTGGTAGTAGCAATGGTGGAACCCAGAACCCTGGGAAAACAAATCAGGGAAAATTAACAAATATGTTGCAATTCATAAACCCTGGAGGTGGGGACCAGCTTTTGTGCATGCTGCACAGGACCAGGTTTTAAGACTTAGGAAACAGATTGTTAGACAGAGAAGATATACATGTATGAGATCCCAAGAATCAATACAGGGAATAGTCACAAATGGCATACTATGTATTCACTAAAATCTACCTTTCCAACAGAAAGCAGTGAGAAAAATACCAGATTATAAACATGCACATAGAAGAGATATCATATACAGCAAGAATGCACTGAGCTGCATCTGATGCTTAACACAAAGTAGGTATATGTACTGAAGCATATACATATACAAGTGTACAGCAGAATTACAATGCAGGAGTTATGTAACACTATTATATGACTGGAAATCTCTCTTTTCCATCGGATAAGTGTTACATTGCAAATTGTACACTATGTGTACACAACACAAAACACAACAAAGCATGTCTACATATATAAACAGCAGTGTTGTCTACTGGACGACATGCATACATGGGCAGCAGCAACAGCAGCAACACCTGGATCAGAAATGCAACTAAAATTCTTCACAAGTGCATATGAGTCATCACAAAGGTGGAGCAAGACATCTTGCAGAGTTCATTTGGGGTCTCCTTGAATGGCACTGGAAAAAGAAGCTTTGCTAATTTGAGGCTAGAGCTTGGAAAGGGACTGTTTTGGACTCTACTTTCATGAAAATCTGGTCTGTATGGCCCATAGACATACTGGTTGAGGATATGGGGTGCCCTAGAATCCATTAAAATAATACTTCCAAGCTCTGAGCAACACTTCCCATTCAAACACATACACCTTTTACATTTGCTTCTTTTTGAGCATTCATCAGTTTACAATATAGAAAGCAGATATGTAGACTGGCTGGCTGGAGCATTCAGTTTTCCTATGATCTGAGCCCTAAGAAGGATGGCTGACAGCCTACAGTTAATAGGAGATTCACAATTTTCAAGGTAATGTTAGACAACAAAATGTCCTTTGAGAAATATGGAAAAACTCTCTTTATGACATAACAATATAATCTTTCACTTGTTGAATAGGAATCCACAAAGCTGTAGAAGGACTGCTATGTTCTTTGCAGAAATTTACCCAGTGATCAGCAGATCAGCTACCCAACACTGTTGCCAGGAAACTATAGATCCCCAGTCCACCAGGTAAGTGTTTTTTCTCATCTTGAACATTCTCACTGACTCAACAACCTGAATTCATGTTCTGTTGAAAGGTATTCATGCAATGCCCTAGAAATTGCGTTTGAGCCTCTCTTCTGCTGTTCTTGATATCAGCATGGAATGGAGGTGGAGACATAGGATTTACAACACAGTGTTGCAGTTATGGTTCAGTGTTTCAACTGACCAGCCAGGCATGCATTCTTCCAAAATACTCCATTGCCTTCTGCTTTCATTCTGGTTTTCTGCTGCACCCCAGAGCACTCTGTATCCTGAAGTGGGGTGTTGTTTTGTTGAATCCTTAGGTTTCTACCCTAGAGATTTCTTCAGCCTTTCCCAACCCCTGGAGTTCCATGGAGCATGGTGAGTCTACAGTCCTGTTCTTAAGTGGTTCTGTTTGGGCTACACACAATCATACACTCAGAGAACTAAGTGTGTTTTTGGTGTATGTAGAAGAAAAACTGATGGCTTGGGGCAGGCAAACTTGACTTTGTGCTTACAAAACAGATGGGTTTAAGGAAAAAGCTGATTTAGCATTCATATGTACGAACATCTTTACATTCATAGCTGCACAATTTCTACCAAATGATTCCCATCTGTGGAAAGCAATATTCTTAATGGATTATGGGGAAAAAATAATGACATCAATTTAGTACTCACTGGGCCAGAATGGCAAAATGTCTCTGCAGATTTAGCCCACTATACCTGAATGCCCTAAGAATATAGATGAAGCCTTGACACTTTACTGTTTTTTTTACAGTGCCGACAGATGTGACATGGTATAAGGACTTGATTTTCAGAGTTCTGCGCTTATGCCGAAGCAAACATGCAAAGCAACATGTAAATATCACATGATAACTAGCACACAGAAAATAAATCTTACTTGGTTCAGAGGGTCCTGCTTCTGAGGAAAGGAAGAGTAGAAAAAGAAAAGCAAAATTCAGTGAAGTGCTGAGCAGCAGAAGGAACGGAAAGGATTACTCCACTGGACAGAGACAATTCACACATTTAGGATGCTGTGTAGTGCATCTGTTCTCATGACTGTGTGGTAGAGGAACCTATATTTTTGCCAGTCTTGACATAAGATTCAAATGTTCATCAGGTCAGCTTCTGCACAGGGGAGGAAGAAGTGCCATCTTTGCCTTAGGCAGCATGGTATCTTGCCACCATTTATGTTTGTTCCCATCTCCAGATGAGCTCTGACAGAAGGAAAGACTATTTCACATTGCATTAGGTGGTTAAGGCTGTTTTATATGCTTGATCTTTAGGCCTGAGTGATTTTTTTTATTGCTTTGTCTCTTCATTCATTTTTTGCCCCTGTTTCCCAGCCTCCACCCAGTGGTGGTTTTATTTGAGATAACATTTTAATATTGTGGGTGTTTTTTAAAAAATAAATAAATAAAACAAATTTATTGTTTAAATTCTTTAAGTCATTTACAAGGCATTAGGTAAAAACTATACAAAAACAATTATAGATAAATCAACAAATAATGGAGATCAAATTTTGCCCTGATTAACAAGAAAGAGATTTTTAAAAAAGAAAGATTAAAAAGAAAGAAGACAATACTGGGAAATATGTTTGCATGTGAACATGTCTGCATGTGTTTTGGGGGATGTTAAGCAAGAGGTACTCATAATTTGATCTAGACACTGTATAAGTGATATTAGAAAGGGAGCCGAGCAATTGTGATTACTCCACAGAAGGGAAGGTGGCAGCCACACCTGTTTCGAGATACATCTAACCCAAGAGTGAGTTCTTAAACATAACAAGAAAAGAAGAAATGCATTAACCCCTCTTCCCCAGAGGACAGAAGAGTATGCATATTTACATTATATTTACATTATATGTACACATGCTAATATAGATGTACAACTTCAAATACATACAGAAGTAACTAGTGTAATTTCAATAGAAAAAAAATACATCTTGTTGTAGAGCAGACGAAGTGATGTGTGTGCCTCCTCAGTCTCCTGTCCAGATACCGACTCTGAATGGACAATCTTAACACCTCTATTCTCCCTTCTGATGATCTTTCATTCTTAAACCAGACTTGAACTAGACATCCTTATAAAGCTCTAGCAGGAATCTAAAACTCATGTTGCAGGTTGCCAGAAGTATGTTCTTGACCTGCCTGTCAGCAATCATGGGATATCCCCTCTAACAATGGGGAATAATAACTCTCCAATGGCTTTTCCTGAGTAAGGTGGGAAGAGACCTGCAGTGGTATAATTCTGAGCAGCAGGTCATTACTGCAGAAAAGAAGTAGTGGGAGAGCCATTGAACAAACACAAAGTTAATGTCACAAAAAGAATGTGGGAAAATACCTCCCCACCCCCTCCTGAATACTTTTTTATGGTCAGCTTCCTCTGCATCCTCTGCTGGAAAGCAAATCAGTTCTTCAAAGAGAATTCAAAAGCAATTAGTCATTAAATGCAATGGCAAATGCAGTAATTTCTCTGAGCAGGTAGTAATGAATTATACCTACATCGGTTGCTTTGTGCAAGGACAACAATCACAGTAATGTCTCCTGCTGTGAGATACAATCTGCAGCATGTGCACCCACGGCAGAGAGCAAAACCGCCCACTTCCAGCCATCCACAACACAGCACTTTCCCTGCCCTCTCCTAAGTGCCTAACAAGCACTCTCCTTAATAGGTAGCACAGTGGCAATTTGGGCTGCTTCTTTTGTTGCCTTGTCCTCATAATTGCTTCATGTGTCAAGAGTTTCCTCACAGATTTTTTTGTGCCCATTGCCCCTTTAATTTCATTCTGTATTCTTCAGTTCGGGAGTCTTTTGTATGCCTGAAAAGCTTTGCAGCTATTTATTTTTCTTACCTAGGAACAACCTACTATTACTGTTCCTACTAATATCCTTTTCCTATAATGGTAAAGATAGGCTCTGCTTCCTTGTGTTTCCGTGCCCTTCTTCTTCCCTAGTAAAAATATGCAGTTCCCAGAATGTGAGGAAAACTCTGACAAGCGGGATATACTGTAGTGAGGAACAACAATGTTCTCAGTTAGCCTTTCCCACTTAATTTTCTTTTGTGGGGAGAAGGTAAAAGTTTCCTCTACTTAATCTTTCTCCCTTGCTTTCTCCTTAAGAGGAAGAGGAAAAAGTTTAGGAAAGTTTGTTTGTTTGTTTTTTGGACTGAAACCCTGGAATCTCTCAGCCAAGCTGGGTAAGCAGTTCTGGTGGTTTAGTACAAATGAATTAAGTAATGCTTCCCACCCCAACTTTTCCAGCTTTCGGTGAAGAGGTAGAGGAAAAATAAGAGGAAAAAGAACTGATGCTACTGACTTTGAGAAATAAAAAATGGGTAATGTGACCCACTCTAATTTAATTAAAAAAAGACATGTGTCTTTAATACTTTTTCTAAAGTATTTATTTATTTAAAATATTTTTACCCAGATTTCTCCTTAGAAAGGACCCAAGGTGACTTACATAATTAATAGATAGCATGTAAAGCTAACAACACTGAGTATACAATACTGAAAGCATCAAACAAACTTCACACTAAAAATAGTAAATACAAGCAACACCAAAACGAAATTCAATGCAGGAAGGTGCATTTACACACCCCACTCAGTCAGCTAGTCACTCAGAGAAAGCTTGCACGAAGAGAAAGGTCTTCGCCCACATGCAGAAAGACAGGAAAGATGATTGCATCCTGGCCTCTTGTGGTAGGGAGTTCCAAGGTCTGAGAGCAGCAACAGAGAAAGCCCTCTCCAAGTCCCCACCAAATCATAGGCTTCTCATCTCCATCTCAAAATTTAAAATCATAGCATCTATGCACAACTATACTGATATTCTTGTTCTTTAATAACGAATTAGGGATCTGCATTTTCTTATGATTTGATAGAGGAAATTCTGAAATGTAACAGAAGCTGGTGCTAGTCGCTCCAGAAAGAGAGCTCACTTTCTCCTCTGATGGAATTACATCCTTCTCTCTCATGTTTTCTACCATTTTTTTAAAAAAAAGTAATGTGGTTGCTAAAAGTGTGCTTAGCATTACATCCAATTTGGCTGTGAAATACATTTTTTGTCATGTGATACTTTAAAAAAATCTTACATTTTTTTAAAAATCCAGATTGAGGAAGACTTCTGTATATAGTAGCTCAAAGGCTCACACATCTCATTGTAAACACTGGTTGATTTGATTGGCCCCTCATAAATCTTATGTAAACGAGTCAACACACTGAGGAGCTTTTTAGTCAACCTAGGTCTAGGAATATGTCCACTCTTAGTTGTCCTTACCTGCTCTGGATTATATTTTGAGAGAATACCATCTCCATGAAACTCTTCCAAAACATCTTTCAGTTTCTTTGTGGAGTCTAGAAGAAGAAATTACATGACAAAAACATCAATATAGGGCCAGATTTTCCCCTTAAAGTTCCCTGCAGTTTGTCAAGTTTATGAATGTTTATGTGCAACCATGATAACACTTTCATTAAAACAAAGTTGTAAAAGCCACAGCAGACTCTGTAATTTCAAGGGAGTACCAACCTGATAGGTTCAGGTGTCTGTTGGTTAGCCAGAACTGATAGGTTCAGGGTCTGTGCTTCAAGTTAAGTGTTCTGTGTGAACCAAACTGTGTGCATGTATGAGTGAGACTAAGCCACGTTACTATATCTTATTCAACTGATCATTTTATTTTCCCTGTGTGTTGTATTTAAATAAACCTTATTCTTTTATTTGTTGAAAATCCATCCCTGGTCTGTGTGACTTCTTATAGGGAATGGTTGGTGGCAGCTTAGTTAACGTGTGGCAGATCCCAGTAGGTCTGGGTTTGTCACATGCACAACTATACTGATATTCTTGTTCTTTAATAACGAATTAGGGATCTGCATTTTCTTATGATTTGATAGAGGAAATTCTGAAATGTAACAGAAGCTGGTGCTAGTCGCTCCAGAAAGAGAGCTCACTTTCTCCTCTGATGGAATTACATCCTTCTCTCTCATGTTTTCTACCACTTTTTTAAAAAAAGTAATGTGGTTGCTAAAAGTGTGCTTAGCATTACATCCAATTTGGGTGTGAAATACATTTTTTGTCATGTGATACTTTAAAAAAATCTTACATTTTTTTAAAAATCCAGATTGAGGAAGACTTCTGTATATAGTAGCTCAAAGGCTCACACATCTCATTGTAAACACTGGTTGATTTGATTGGCCCCTCATAAATCTTATGTAAACGAGTCAACACACTGAGGAGCTTTTTAGTCAACCTAGGTCTAGGAATATGTCCACTCTTAGTTGTCCTTACCTGCTCTGGATTATATTTTGAGAGAATACCATCTCCATGAAACTCTTCCAAAACATCTTTCAGTTTCTTTGTGGAGTCTAGAAGAAGAAATTACATGACAAAAACATCAATATAGGGCCAGATTTTCCCCTTAAAGTTCCCTGCAGTTTGTCAAGTTTATGAATGTTTATGTGCAACCATGATAACACTTTCATTAAAACAAAGTTGTAAAAGCCACAGCAGACTCTGTAATTTCAAGGGAATCCAGGCTGCTTTCTTTTATAAATTTTTATTAAATGAACTTGCATGTGTGTGAGCTACTTAAACTTTGTATTTACAATATCCAGAATATTTCTTTTGAAGTACAATATACAACAAACTTGCAGTGACAAATATTTGACCCTCATAATGCTCCAGGGACTAAAAGTAGCTGCTGTCTCTATCAGAAGACTGAAGAACCCTAGGACCACTTCAAACATTAACATTTTCTCCACAGAAATCACTTCCAAATATAGAGGGTACAATGCACAAAAGTCACATAATGTTCCCTTTGTAGAAAGGCAGCGTGATGTAGTGGTTCGATTAAGGTTGAGGAGATGGCACTTTAAGTCTCTTCTTAGCCATGAAGTTCATTAGGTGATCTTGGGCTAATCTGTTTCTCTCTCTCTCCCTCTCTTAGTTTATCCTACCTCACTGTGTTGCTATAAGGACAAAAGGCAGGAAGGAAAGAAATACACAAGCTACATTGAGAGCTGCTTCCAGGAAAGGGGGGATATGCATGTAATAGAGGTGTGCAGATAATTATTTTTGGAATAACATTCCCAGAATATCCCAGGCAGCTGGGAATTTTAGTAAAAACAACAACACAGAAATCTATATATCTTGTAATTAATAGTAAACAGACACATGCATATCATATATAATATATATCAATGCTGTCACTAAGAAAAGAAAAGTAGGAGTAAACCATGGTACATATCTCCCCTCCAAAAAAGAGAAAGTTTATGCTTTCAAAAAAGGGGAAAGTGAATAGTTTTGGGAGGTATTGCTGTTTACTTTCCTAACATTTGCTGGTATGGTACCTTCATCTCTAGATTTTGGCGCCTTCTCCATTTGGTACCCAGGGGCAAAAGCTCCGTCTCCTGCCCTAGTTACAGCTCAGGTATATGTACCTAAATATTCCAACTAAGAAACATGTTTCGCATGTACAAGAATACAACATTTGTCGTAAATACAACAAAATAGATGTGTATGTTGTTTGCCAATGTGTGATGACATAGAAAATGTGAAACATTTTGTGGTTTGGGTGCTGAATCCCAATTAGGGAATTTCTCTGTGGCTTACACATTCTTTAGGTGGCTGGATAGCTCAGTGGTTTAGGTATCTGGCTGTGGAGCCAGAGGTTGGGATTTTGAGTGGCAGAAGGAGGCAAGGAATCTGGGGAACCCATGCAATACCTATGGACCCATCTCTGCCAAACCACACCAAAGTGCTGAAGCATGGTTCATACCCATCTCTATCCAAGACTCCTTCTGACCATGCACAGAGCAAGAAGAACAATTTGGACATGAAGGTAGAGGCTCAGTTTCTTTCTCCACCAGCAGATTAGTTAGGCATCCTTCAGTCTTGAGATACGATGGTAACGTACTCTGAATGGAGGACTTGGAACAGCGTCTAGTGTGGTTGAGAAGGCCAATTCGAGAGTGACAATCCCTTCCACACTGAAGACAAATACAGTCTGTCCCCTGACCAGCTCCCTGATTTTGCTGGTTTCAGGACTGCCTCTTTGCCTCAGATTGCTGGACAAGGGTCTCTTCAAAATGGGAGAGGCTGTGACGCACCACCTGCCTCCAGGCTGAACACTCAGATGTCAACGTTTCACATGTGTTGAGGTCCATGCCTAAGGCCTTCAGATCCCGCTTGCAGACATCCTTGTATCGCAGCTGTGGTCTCCCTCTGGGGCACTTTCCCTGCACTAATTCTCCATATAGGAGATCTTTTGGAATCCAACCATCAGGCATTCTCACAACATGCCCAAGCTAACGTAGACGTCTCTGTTTCAGTAATGTATACATGCTAAAAATTCCAGCTCATTCTAGGACTAATCTATTTGGACCTTTGTCCTGCCAGGTGATACCAAAAATGCATCCAGCAGATTGATTATGTAATAAAGGAGTGAGACAGGCCTTCACTCAGTGAGCTGGGTAGTGAGACCTTGAGCATCTAGTTTAGCCCAGGAGTTGAAGGGTTGCCTCCCTGAACTATATAGAGATGGAAATGTTTTCCCCACATTGATGTAGCTGTAGGGATGAGGGGAAAGAACAGAGTTATTTAGCCTTTCACAGAACCTGGGCTATTACTGTATTTTTTAAAATTTGACTTCTGGAATCCCTCAGCCTATATGGCCAGTGACTATGTTTGCTAAGTGATTCTGGAAATTATATTCCAAATAGTACTTTTTCCTGGCTCTGAGTTGTCAATTTTAGTAGCAAAAAGAGTGGAGGTTTGTGTGGTGGCAGTTACCAAGCTGGAATTCAGCACCCTGTCTCCACTTGCATGTATTGTGGGATTCATAAGAGATAAATCCTCTTTCTATTGCCCTTGAAGACCATGCCCCAGAGATAAAGGCTTACTGCCACGCCCAGTTTCTTGCTAGCAGTTCCTATAACTTGGTTCTGTCACAGAATAGTAACATTTTTCATTGTAGATATTCACTTTCCTCAGTTGAATGAGGAGGACACGAAAGTAAGTATCTCTTGCTCCCTGCCCAAAAAAGCAGGTTTAATAAACATGAAGCTCCTAGAATCCCATTGCATAGCAGTGGCCATGCTGGCTATGGAATTCTGGGAACTGTTGTTTCAAAATAATTAATGTTCCTTATTTCTGACCAGGCTACAATATCTTCTGTTGTTTCTATCACTAAAGGTATTTGAGAATGGCTCTTTCACTAGCTGCCTTGAGGGAAGCCAACCACTTGTTATAAGTTTTTCAAAATCCTCCTTGTTGGGGTCTGAGAGCTCTAGGATGTGAGAAGTCTCAGTAGGCTCACAGCTAAACTCTCCTGGATTAGATAGTCCCAAAGGCTCAAAAGAGACTGAAATATCAGAGGCAGAAAATGCTTTAAAGTAGAAATATGCCTTCAGATGTTTAAAGCAGCTTCTAAAACGTAAACAAAGGGGGCTGCTCAAATGCTCAAATTTCCTATGTTTTAAGTTACCATGGATATTACAATGTCTGGGCTAGTCTTAGAGAGATTAAAGCCGTGGAGACAACATTAGTAAGAAAGAAATTCTTCTAGAACTCCCCACCCACAGGCTTTATGACAGCTAGGCCTTTCCAACCTGGTACTTTCCAGATAACGTGGATTGCAACTTCCATTTGCCCTAGTAACTCTGAGGGATAATGGCACTTGTAGTTCCAAACATCTTGAAGGCACCAGCTTGAGAAAGCTTGCTTTATGAAGTCCCATATGAATTCTGTGTAACAACCACAAGCCAAGATGGATGCTAGTTTGGTGGACAGATAGGAGGGCTGTCTCTGTTGTAATGTATGCCATCAGTGTTAGAATCTGAATAGACTTGGGTCAGACTAGTAACTCTCCTGTCACCAGAAATCACATTGCTGGATCTTTTGACTATAGAACTGTGCCTTATTTTTCATTTGTTGCACTTTCTTTTTCCCTCATTTTGAAATGTCAAGGCCCTTCTAGTCAACTGTGTGATGTTTCAGCACCAGACTGGTGGACAGTTGAGCTGTTTTTTTTTCTTTTCTGTAGGAGTTTAGGCAAATAACAGTAGCATGTATTTATTGCAAGAATTGTTATTGTGTGCTAAATGGTTGTGTCAGTGTTTGTGCTTATCCGACTGCTTCATTTCTACTGCATGTGTATTGCTCTAGACTACATGCAGGCCCACATTTGTTTTGGTGTCCACCTAGCATTGCCAGAAACATCCTTCTGAAATATGTTTTACAAAGAAAAAAGAAGCCAAGCCCTCCAGGAAGCTTTCAAGGAGTGTGTTTTTCTTTGGAGCTGGCTCAAGGTCAACTCAGCCTTCCATCCTTCTGAGGTTGGTAAAATGAGTACCCAGCTCACTTGGAGGGGGCCAATGTGTAGCCTACTGTACATAATCAACTTGTAAACTGCCCAGAGAGTGCTTTAAGTGCTATGGGGAAGTACATAAGTAGCATGCTTTCCATTTTTTTAAATAGGCCATGAGCCTCTGTACCTTATTTTGCTAAAAATTGTGTTCACAAAATTTGTACTGGGGTCCTGGTCACTTTTGATTTTGTTTCCTTGACAAGCAAGCGAGTGTCTCCATGGAAACAGCGCTATGCCACAGGATATCTCACAACATCCTGGAGCATAGCATGGAGCCTTGTTACACAGCTGCATTATTGCCTAATCAAATGCATATACAACCTATGTATTACTCCATGCTTCTGTCACAAAAGCCAATGGAAGAGAGATATTATACCACACCAATGATCTACTGAGACCACATTTTATTTCTGCTACTAGTGGCTCATGATCTGAGCAGCAGAAGAAATTCATCCTGACACCCCACATCCGCTGACCATATGCCACCTATAATTTCCATTGTGACTTCTGTAAAACCTGACTGTTCAGTCTCAAAATACTGTGGGCACAGGATCATCCCTGAATTCCCAAATTCCCGGACTGGCACTTTACTGATGGAAGCAGATTAAGCAGATTAAATAGCAGATTAAGCAGTTTTGTGCACTCTTCCCTCGTATGCAGTGTTCTCTCCTTTTTGATCCTAAATGTACTATCACAGTTGTCCTGGTCTGCTCTATAGACTAACAAGAACTTAGTGAAGGTACAGTATAGGTTGGTCATATAGCCTACCTTTCAGATCTCAGGCCCATATTTGAGGATGTCCTTTGCCCATATGTCTCATCACTTTCAGTTTGGTTTAAAGACAATGAACCTAAAGGAGGGAGAGCAGGAATTCTGACACTTCCCACCAACAGTAAGCCCTTGGACAGCAGGCTGAGCAAGGAACATGGGTCATTTGGCCACCAACCTCCCCCATGTGGGGAAATAATTTCACTGCCATTTAAATGGCTTCTAAATGTGCACTAAACATGCAAATGTTGTGCACAGCAGTGCCTCCTTTTCAAAATGATGCCAAGCAAAGACTTCAGTACAGTATGGCTGGTGGGGGAGATTGGCAAGTTGACCTGCATTTTATGCTACTCTCCCTACCATTCTTCTCCTGTGCAGTTTACATCCACATATTTAAACAGACGGTCTTTTTATATGTACTGTAATGTTCCACAGTAAATTTTTGTAAAGTCGCATAGGTCACAGAATTACATGGCGTCCTATACAAAAACAGAGCAAGAACTGTATGTTTCCTATCTAAGGAATTGCAAACTGGCAAAGTATATGCTGTTGCCAGGATAAAAACATTCACAACAAAATGACACACTTTTCAAGGCATGAGACAAGCACAGTACTTACACTCAGAATACTGCTGGAGCTGAGCAAACTCAGCCGGACTAAGTGTGACCCATGTGCCGTCACCCATCTTCCAGGTGAGCTTGAGGAGGCTGTGTCCGCCAATGTCCTTGTAGAAGCTGCACCTAGGAATTCTCCTGGGTCATTGCTCCACTTTAGGTCTGCAGTTACCTGCAATGTCTGTGTCACTATGGTTAATCATTAGATGTATACAGCAGAATTCAAATCCTGGTCCGCATGAGAGCCAACGAATCCTGTTCTTTCACAGCTGTCCTTATAATCTTTGTGCTGAGGAGTGCCATCAGGAAACACTGCATGGAGAATACCAGGTGCTTCAGAC